TTATATTTTCGGTTCTGTATAAGTTTTATAAAGTGTACTACCGGTAGTACAAAGGCCTAAATCCAATCCATTAATTTAAGCCTTAAACCTAATCTAGTGAATATTAATTAAAAAATATTTTTTATTTAAAAAACTAATTTGTGTTTTAATCAAAAGGTTTTTTTTGTCTTTTTTAAATGTTAAACCAAGTTTTAACTTTAACCTGTATAGCAAAAAAATTTTTATACATTATATGTTTATTTGATATTGTATTATACTAGTATTAAGTATAATAAGATCATATTACGTATTCATTAATTTAAATCAAATTTAATTAAAATAAATTAGTATTATATAGATCTGAATGTAATTTAAATCTAAATAAATTATATAAAAAATAAGTTTAATACGTATATAATAAAAATTATCAAAATTTAGTATAGTTATTCTATATTGTTAGAATACAGCTAACTTGACTGTATAACAAAAAGTTTTTTATAGTAAATAAACATCTTTGGGTTTCTAACAAATAATATAAAACAGTTATTCTGATTCTAATAGTAATAGAATTTATAATTTTTACTTTATGAAGGTGATAGTAATTCTTCGCCAATTTTATTATGAAATTTATATCGTCCAACTGCGGCCTACAACTTAAATTTTTTTTAGAAAATAGTATTTTATTTTACTTTTTTTTCTTTTCTTTATCTTCCGCAGTAGCACTAGATCTATTCACTAAAACTGTTCCAAGCACTATAAACCCCGCGCCAAACCACCACTGAAGTGCCAATGCTTCACCAAATATAACTTTTCCAAGGATTGCCTAAATTTTAGTGATAGTTAATTTTTTTTTTTTTTAAAAAAAAAAAAGACCGAAATTTCGAAACAATTATACTTACAGTCATACAAAAATTGGTAGCACTATTTAACACGGTAACTTGAATGGATGATGATGATTTATTGAATGCTTTTGTGAGCAAATTCCACATTAATGCGTTACATAAGAATATTGATGCGAAGCAAAGAATTCGGATCAAGTAGATTATCTTTTATGGAAAACAT